CATTCGTATGTTCCAAGATCAACATAGGGGATGTTGTCATGGATTGTCAGATCGATGCGTTCTCCATCCTTCGTAATCATAAAAGGCATCTGAGCAGATGGCCATACAAAGGAGTATCCTTCTTCCATGCATCGTTTCCCAAGAGACATCACAGACGGAGTGTCGTCCAGTACATAAGCATGAGATGTCATATCAAAGGTTCCCAGGTCAATCTCCGCTTCCGTTTGAGTAGCAGTTGAACCATTGGCGGTGTGGAACATGATAGGATCACAAATCCGTTGCTTCAAGTTCATCCTTTCGGCTTTCCTTGCAGAAATCAGGTCGTGTCCGCTGCCAGAATCCAGGATGAATCTACGATCTTTGGCTTGTACTGGTAATGAAATGCACATCATATTCTTGGACTTCATGAGGGATTTTCCAACTTCATGTTCAACAAGCTCTTCAACGAAAGTCAAGTCCTCATGATCATCGTCCAATTTGATCAACATGTCGAACTTGGGGCCAATGATGATTCTAACTTCATCAACAAAACGATGAATTCCGCATCTATCCATGATGATAGCCTTGGCCCGTGCTCGGACTGAACCGAGGGTGTTGTCGGACTTGGACTGATCATCGGTCAAATCATCGATCTTCCAGAAGACATATTGCTTGTTGGGATCACGATACATGCGTTTGGGTAATCCCTCCTGGTTGTTCTCTATGGCAATCTCGTGCACTTCAGGTTCCAGCTCAAATGAGATCCTGCGAACATCAGAAGACTTCTTTGCGCTGGCTATCCTCGGTGAGGTATAATCCATGGAGTCCTCATTGTCGCTATCAAAGAAGGAATCAATGGTAATGGGAGTTGCTTTCTTCTTTGGTGTCTTCTTGCTGGTCTTTTCTGATGATGCTGAAGGCGATTGTTCTGCATGTAGGAATTTACATCTGTTTCCGAATGTGCAGGTACCCTTTTGCCAATTCCAACATATCTTCTTTTTGGATCCAACTGAGATGAACTTCCTCTACTTTTCCCTCTTGATGAATCTCGACTTCCGCTTCTACCTTTCTTACCTTTCATCTTGGCATCATAGACCTTCTGAGAATGACTGTAAAGACATTTGTCACCTTTGTTGCATCCTCCTTTATTGAAGAAGTAATTGCAGAAAATCTTCTTCTTGTCAACGGGTGAAGATGATCTCCCCTTCCCACCTTTGCCTTTCTTGTTGTTCTTGCCGGCATGGGATTTCGGAGAAGGTGTTGGGAGTACTGATGCAGCTTCACTCTTCGCTTTTGCTTTAGGTCGCTTGGGAGGGTCACCTGTAGACGATGCAGCTGCTTCATTCTCCTTCTTGGTCTTGATGGGAGCAGCAGGCTTGTCTGCATCTTCCAGAGCAGGTGTTGTCTTGTTAGAGGACAATGACAGTTTCACTGCACGTTCTCTATCTTTCAACAGTCGTTCTTGCTTTCCTCGTGCTATGTATCCTTTGATCATACCGGTCAGGAATTCATAAGTCTTTTCAGGATGCCCTTCATCATAGGTACGGTATCGGCTGATATCAAAAGACATAAAGCTTTGAATGTTCAATCTTCCGGAACAATGTGTCACGCAGGGAATTTGCAGAAGGCAGATCATCATGTTTCATGTTGTATATGATATCAAGCCACTTGTTGTAGAAGGCCTCAAGTTGGTCATCTCCATAGTAGTTGAACATGTATAAATGATGGGCGTTGTAGAGAACCTCAGTATGGTCAGGTGACTTGAAGCTAATCAAGACCATTGCGAATAGTTCTCGTCCCTTGATGAAGTCCCCACTCCTCCCATACATTTGGTTCTTCATGGACATGTCATACTTCACTTGCATGGACTTGTCCCCAGCATTGTCAATGACTTTCCTCAAGGCATTGGAGAGCTTGGCATCAATGGATTGGAATCTCACATCGGGTGCTTTGGCCAGAGCCTCCAAGTCTGGTTGGTCCGCAAGACACGGAGCTAGCCATGCTTTCCAATCTTCATAGTTTCGATCTCCACTTGCAACACAAACTTCATGAACGACACTTCCCTTCCAGGATGAAAGTTCAGTGGTCTTGGGCCAAGGTTGGAGATTGATCTTTTCGGCTTCCCTTAGAGATACGGATGACTTAGATCTATCCTTCTCAAGGTTCTCCAACTCCTTGACATTGGTGTTGTACTCGTTCCTGAGCTTCTCGAAGGCTTCAGCTTCTGCTCGGTATTCCTGCTCTTCATCGTTGGCACGATCTTCAGCTTGAGAGAAGTTGTTCTTGTAGTAATCTTTCCGATCTTCCATCTTCCTTAAGTCATCTTGAAGATTTCGAACTTCAGCGTTCCTCTCTTGCTTCATCTCGTCCAATTCTGCTTTCAGTTTGGCACACTTCTCTTCACATTCATTTCGAGGCATGGCATTACTGGGGTACCCAAGTAACGTAGCCGGTCTGTTCAGTGATGAAGAAGAAGAAGCTTGGTTTTCCAGCTTCAGGGCAGCGATGGTGCTCGACATCTCTTCTACTTCGGCGAAACGTTCACTAGCCAATTGATGCATCTCAGTCAAGTGGCTCTCAGGAATGGAATAGTCAGTCGCACCTTTGATCACGAGTCTCCTATCGTTTAACATCTTGATGGAGCGGCCTGCATCCCTGTGAGCACGCTCAAGAGAATCCTTTTGGGTTTCAATTTCAGTATGAAGGCGAGCAATAGCTGTATCCCTGTCATTGATTTCATTGTGCAAATCGTCGAACAAGTTACTCGTCACATTCGGATTGTTACTCATGTGATCGATCTTGTCCAGAGCATCTTGATATTTCTTACCAGTTTCATCGAAATGTTTCTGGAATGTCTTGAGCAGGTTCTCAGTGTCAATGAGTTCAGCCCTGTTTTGTAAGTACATCTTGTCAACTTCAGCCTTGGATTCCTTCAGGCTGTCACGTTCACGTACAGCTTGCATGTACATCTCATGTTGTAATCCTCCATGCGGTGATCTGCTTGGCGAGGATCTTCTGGCTTGTTGACAGGAAAGTTCATGATACTGATTCTTCGATTCAGTCAGTTGATGTTGCATTCGATCTAAAAGGCTTTGTTTCATGTGTAGTTCCGAACGTAGTCCCATTATCCTCATGTCCCGCATGCCACTTGATTCAGCTAGAGATTCTCCAGAAACCTTGCTCTCAGAAGTCACTAGTCGAGATTGTAAGTTCTCATTGTGAATCACCTGCAATCGAAGTTGTGATTCCTCCAAAGCTAAATGATGTTCACATTCAGCATAACGGTCATGTTCAGATCTTATGTTACTACGGAACTCCTTCATGATCTCGTCCCTCTTCATGTCAGCAGCATCGAGCTCAGTTTCCAGTCGTCTAATATTCATGGACATGGTGTGCTTCATCGTCTGGTTCTGATTGGCAACCTCGAGCATCTCGATCTGTAAAGCACATGTCTGGTCGTTAGCATAGCCGACCGCCAGAGCTTCTTGCTTTGCGTTCATCTCTGCGTTTTCTAATTCCAGTCTGAGTTGATTGATGTGAGCATTCGCATCAGCGCCCACATGTACCATAATTGCGTTCGCTTGTCCCATTTGTTCATTGAATTCCGAACGTAGTTGCGAATATCTAAATTCCAAATGAGATGCAGCTTCATTCGACATAGTCTGATACCTCTCCAACTCTTCGATCCTGTAGGTTGCACCTTCATCTTCTTGTTGCGCAGCCTGTAACTCAAAGTTCAGCATCTGGAGTTGTTCAGTCATCGACATCATCTCTTGATGAGTGGTGCTTGCCAGGAAATTAAATTGTTGATAGGCATATGCAGCCGTCTCAGTCAATCTTGCCTGAAGTACGGATTCTTCTTCAGTAGCCTTTTCCAGTGATGTCTTGTATTCAGCTAATTCGCTCTGATAGGCAGTGAAGATGTCGCTACCACTTGATGGGGCGTTCACTCGTTGATAAGATCCTGTCCCTGATGGAGTAGCGTCCTGAATCGGTGAAGGCGGATTCGACGATGTAGGCTTTGCCTTAGTCCTTGGAGTCATCGGAGGCGACAATTGTCGTGCAGATGATCTTCTCTTTCCAGGTGTGTTGTCCCTATCTTCAATTGCTTGCATTGTCGAAATCTGTCTCCCTCTAGGAGCAACCAGAGGTCGTCTGGGTAGGCTTGGTCTCAGTTCTGAGGTTTCGCTTCCACCAGTGTCGATACTCTGTGAAGAATTTGACTGCGTGCCGGCAGCTGGTGCAACGGCATGTCCAGAGAAAGAAAATGCGTTATCGCTGCTATCCTGTTCAGTCATCTGTAAGGTCCGCGGCTACCCGCTCGTAGGCTCCGTAGGAGTCCTACGGGTGATAACCTGTGAATCGGAGGTTCTTTCTCCAATATGTTCCTTTGATGTTGATCTGATGCTCCAATACTCGAGACGAACGAGGTCACAGCTTCGGCATACGTTTTATTTCTCGCGGGTCTGCAGTAGGGGTGACTTGAGCCAAAGGGTATTGCGGTTGACCCTCTGGCTAAAATGAGACTTGGCTACTGACATAGGGATGTTATTGTACACTGTGGTCTACTCCCCATTCGCATAATCCTATCTATATATATATATTAATATATGTATATATATATATTATACTTATTAGTATATCTATATATATATATCTATATCTATCTATTACTATTACGGCTACAAGATATATCTATATAATACTGTAGTACCAGCTTTATAGTTTTTGGCACTGGTATCTGAAGTGATTCTTATCAGCTGCAGAATGAAACATGGTACCTGAAGTGTGTATATATATATATGCATATATATATATATATGTATTGTCCTGTATACTATAGTGGCAATATACATGATATAACATCAAAATCTGCATAATACAACACGATATTATATATGGCACTTAGTATATCTGGGCCCAGATATGCAATCAAAAAAACACAACATGCGTATTTGATCTCATTTTGTGTACATATTTATGATCATATTTGCCACTTTGAGGGACTGAACATGTCCGGCCTCATCACAAACCAGGAGTCGCGGGCTCCGAAGCAACGCCCGTGCCAAACACAACAGTTGTCGCTCACCTGAGGTTGGCTCGTGCCACAGCACTGCGGGGTTGCTTAGAAACTTTATCATAAGTACAGTTCACATCCACATGTACACCATTACACACCTATAAATTTCACCCACTGATGGGTGTACATATGAATATGATTGCATGTAGAACTTGAAACTGCTGGGGCTTTCAAGAAAGATTTCGAAAACACCGCTTGTTTGCCAGCACAGCAAACTTCATTCCGGTGGTTCTGTTTCATATGCTAAGCAGTTTCATCTTCACCGTCAAATAAGCCACTCAATTCCATCTCAATTCAATTCCTAGTCTTCTCAGTTTTTCACCCTGAAGGTCAACCTCAATTTTTCGATGCCATTTCAATTGATACACCTAAATTCCTCTCACCAAAATCAGCACGCAGCCAAGGCACCTACGGAGAGATTCGCGCCCGCCTGGTCGATTTGTGTCTCCAACTGCAAGGTCTCCGCCAATTGGGCTCGATGCAGTGCCTCTGAACATCTCCTGAGATCCCCAGGAATGTGGATGGGTACCCTGCTACCCCTGTAGTTTACATGAAAATAGCTGGTAAATCATGGTAAATCGATCTATATCGCCCCCAAAATGTGGTATATCCATCCCCATATCCACACTTGGATTTTCCCCAATTAAAATGACGGCAATTTTGGGATATCATCTTGGGACAAAACCATGCCTCCATTCTGAGAACGACTTACACGTCTTACACCTGGGACCTCTGCGCGGCATGATGCCCGTTACAAGCGTCGCTGCATCAAATTCGTTGAAGGGATCCAGGTTGTAGTGTACCGTGCCACTGAAAATCACTGGATCCTTGGGCGTGTTGGCAGCAGCAGGGAACCTGGCCCATGGCAATCCACAGCTCTTAGGTGACATTCATATGTAAAAAACATGTATACAACGCATACATATAATATGTATATATATATAATATATTTATATATATAATATATATATATCATATATATATATATCATATATATATCATATATATATATATCATATATATATATATTAATAATGATGTATCTGTATATTATATCTATACACACATCACTGTGTGTTCAACATAATGCGGATCTAGTTGCTGGCGAACAGAAGCTGCATCACCAGTCACCCAAGAACCCCAAGACCCTCTAACCATGCAGCTCAAAACACCTGCGTGATGATGCCCATAGATCTCCGCGCCATATCTAAAGGCCTTGGGTGCCCATGACATCAATGGGAAGCTGATCGCCACGTGGGTTCAACCCTAAAACTTGTGGCGCCTCCAAACCCATTTTTTTCTCCGAAACTAACATTCAAATCAAACAATTGTGAGGGAGCTTAATAGCTGAAGGTTTCCGTTTCCCAAAGTTGTATCTAATATTTCTTAATGAGTTTGAATGGACCATCATTTATGTATCATAGAATCATACATACGCCTTGAAACTATCAGTGCTGAAACTCTTGTTGTACGCAACTGGCCATGGGGAATGGATCAATCATGATTAATCACTATTTTGGTATATTGGATGAATATCCATAACATTCCATAACTACCATCATTTACCAACCATTTATCAGCCATTTATCATCCATTTACCAGCCATTTACCAGCTATTTACCAGCCATTTACCAGCCATTTACCAGCCATTTACCAGCTATTTACCAGCCATTTACCAGCTATTTACCAGCCATTTACCAGCTATTTACCAGCCATTTACCAGCCATTTACCAGCCATTTACCAGCCATTTACCAGCCATTTACCAGCTATTTACCAGCAATTTACCAGCTTTACCAGCTATTTACCAGCTATTTACCATTTACCAGCCATTTACCAGCCCAGCTTTACCAGCCATTTACCAGCTTTACCAGCCATTTACCAGCTATTTACCAGCCATTTACCAGCCATTTACCAGCCATTTACCAGCTATTTACCAGCCATTTACCAGCCATTTACCAGCCATTTACCAGCTATTTACCAGCCATTTACCAGCTATTTACCAGCCATTTACCAGCTATTTACCAGCCATTTACCAGCCATTTACCAGCCATTTACCAGCTATTTACCAGCCATTTACCAGCTATTTACCAGCCATTTACCAGCTATTTACCAGCCATTTATTTACCAGCCATTTACCAGCTATTTACCAGCCATTTACCAGCCATTTAATGCTATGTTTGGGGCTTCACCATGGAATTCCCAGGGGTAGCCTGAAACCTTCGCCCTTCACGGCCACGCTGCAACTCCGCCAAATCCTGGCCCTGCAAGATCACCCGACCCTCCTGGCGCGCTGCAAAGGAATGGATTTATGGTGATCTATGGGGATTTAATGGGACTTAATGGGATTTAATGGGATTTATGGTCATTTAATTTGGTTTTTATGGTTATTATAGTGACTTCCCGGGACTCATGGCGGTATAACATGGGTAGAATGGGGCGATAATGGAGGTACAAGTAACAAATCGTGAAGTGAAGTGACACCATTTTGCATGTCTGTTTTGACAATCTATCAAATGCTTGCAAACATGTGTTTTTATCAGTTTCTATCATGTTTCTAGCATGCTTCTAATATCATCTAAAAATGTTTCTGATCATTTCTTCTACCTGACATACAAACCCAGAAACAAATCAACCCCTCCCACCCTCCTCCAAGGGACAAAGGCGGAACAAGGCCACGGCCAGGGTGGATTTGCCAGAGCCAGTGCGACCCACCACAGCCAAACGCTCCTGGGGGACAACCACGGTCAGGCTTTCTCAGGATTTTTCATGGAAGGCTGATATACCCTGTCGAGGTTTTGTGGTGGGTATTCACGGAAAATGAAAAGGCTTCATGAAAGATGGATGTTGATGGATATTGTCCATGGAAACTAATGAACCTCTATAAACCTCTATAAAATTTGACAAATGTTGATAAATGTTGATAAATCTTGATGTAAAATATGTAAACAACTGACAAGTTCCTGAAGTTGATGAACATTGATGAACAGTTCATGAGTTGACAGCTACCGGAAGGCGCCCAGCCTTCCGGCCCAGTTGGAAGGAGACCGAGTTCAGGGCCAAAGGAAGGCCAGGTTGATATCGTAAACAGACCTGGGCAGGTCACATGGACACCCCGTCAACCCATGGGATCTCAGATCGAATCTCATGGGACTGTTCCAGATCTGTTTGAGATCCAGTTGCCAGAAGACAGCAAAAGACTGTACCATACTATACCATATACATAATATCCATTAATATCCATATCCATATATGCTATAATTACCTATAGCCTATATGACAAATTATGAAGCTTGGAGTCATCAGCCATCCGCGATCTTGATATATCTTGATCATCAGAACCCTCGAGCAAACCTTCCGGAGGATTGGCCTTCTCAAAGGACAGCAGAACGTCTGATTTCGTTATGGATTCCTTGATATCGCTCCTTCGGATCGCTGCAGCATGTCGTTCAGATGACAGGATAAGGATCGCCAGGATCGCATTCTGATTCTTATGGAATTGTTTTCTAGAGATATCATTTATCAAGTCTTTGCGAGACTCCGAAGATCTCAGAAGTACTTCTGACACGCTTGGATTCACAGCGGAATTTTGAAGTCATGAAGAAGCATACGTAGCACAGTGTAGGCTGTGTCTGTAATAAAGGTACAAAGTGGAGGGCCAACTGCCAGTCGAAAAGCAATGGATGTGACCATCCCTGCCTTGCTCCGTCCAAATCCTGATGTTCTCCCTCGTCAGGTACCTCCGGTGTGTAAAACGGCTTCTATAGATGAACATCTCTTGCATCTGGATGGACTTTGATGACCTCAAATGCAACGATGTTGGCATAAACATATCAGTTTCTACTATCCTGCTATCCTCCAGACATCCTCCAGTCATCCTGCAGTCTTCCCACCACCCCTTCAAGTATATTTCCCCTTGCTGCGCACATCCACGGCATATTCCATCATTCTGTCCACCGATGTAAAACATGCCTCTGCCTGCAACTGGAATCCAAGGCCAAGGTTTACCATGTTTGGAACCTGGGTTGCAGCACACACTTGGTTGATACATATTGATAGGCTAAAGTCGAAATAAGTCGAAATCATAGACCTAAAAAAAATGGAAGGGCTTGCAGCGACCATGACAAACACTGTCAACGGAGGTCTAGTCTGATCTATTCTGATCTATTCTGTCAGTGTCTGCCCGATGCATTGTTGATACCTGGCCAAAAAATAAGGGGAACGAGTACATATGGATATGGTACATCATGAGATGCACGCCTCAAAAGATTCTTGGTATAGGTGACATCCCATTTCTAAGAATGCCCAATCTCTGTTGAACCTCTGTTCAAACATCCAGAAACCAACTCTTTCCCCAGTTTTGCTAGTTGTATCATGCCGTATCCCCATTTTTTGGCTGGAAACCAATGATTGTACCCACCTGACTGGAGAAGATGCAGTTGAAACCCAGCGATGTGGCGAGGTTCCTGAGTTTCGGGTTGCAGAAAGAGTGTCTTTGTATACCTTTGTATAACTCACATGAAAGACAGTGTGAACATATGTGAAAGTATGTGAAAGTGTCACCATTATATGATGCTCAGGAAATGAGCACCCCAGCTCACCCCCCCAAAATCTTCCACCATCGTTGACCGAGGTGTCTGAGGTGTCTGAGGCGTCCGAGGTTCGTATTCCAAATGAAACACATGCCGATGAGGCTGGCGGGAACTTGACCCCGAAGCAACCAGAAGCCCAAGCCGAGCAAGCTGCTGACGAAAGCCGCCAAGAGCCTTGTGGATCGGACAGTGGCGGCATGTTGTGCAGAGTTATATGAGTATAATGCTAAGGGGCATTGCTGGAAATGGCGGTTGCTAAAATCAGAACAGGTGTATCAATTGGATTCAATTGTGGCACAATAACGGTTTTCAGGAAGAGTGCTACTTCACTATGCGGAGTACACCGTGTTTCTTCTACCGTGTTTCTTCTGCTGGAAAGGCAGGATCCTGCAATCTCTCCAATGAACAGTGACAATAAATTTCACCCAGAACGTAGTTTCAGTCGAGTCACTAATTCAGAAACATGTCAAGATATATCAAGATATCAAATGATATCAAACAAACCCTCGAACGAGCCCTTTATACACCATGACGACCATCAAATAATCCTTCGCTTGTCCGTAGCGTACCTTTGCATTCACAGCCAAGGAGCTCCACCCTGACACCCAACCATCGGTTCGAGGAATTGAATGTCAAGATCGCAGCAGAGTTTACCTTGAATCGACTATCCAAAATGATCAAGGGCAAAGAATCAGTTGCAGTGTCAAAGGTCAAAGTCGTAGTTTCCTGGGCTGCAAACCTCTCTGCGGACCAAAATCGACCCAAATTGTGCTGCTATGTGCTGCTATGAGACATCAATGACTCGTGCCAAACGCTCGCTATATTTGGCCTTGCCATTGTTGATGAACAATGCAGGATGAACAACAAAAAAATGCCTTTTTAGTGAGTTTCAGCTGTGCTTCCAGAAACGCACCGCAAAGGATACATCTTTGCCATGTTTGTCCACAACAAACGAAAGGTAAGCGTTTCATAAGTTTCATATCGAGTTTCTCCGCATCTCTTGGAAAAATCAATGCAACTGGAGTTCATCCTGTTGACAAAGCCGACTAAGCCGAACTTCACCGAGGGCACCTCGCAGGCAAAGGCTCGCACGCTGACAATGCCACTGAGGACCTCGTCAGGCTCCCTGCTGCTGGCGTCTGGTTCTGATTTCATTAGGAAAATATGGGAACATGTATATTAATTATAATTATAATTATATATAGAAAATCGAAGCACAACAGACTTACAACACACATCTTCTGGAGTACGCTGGTCATCCCAAACTCATGGGATACTTCGGCTCCTTCCCATCCCCTACCAGTTCCTACCAGTCCCCACCTCTGAGTAAACGGATTGGATGGGGCTGCGGGAGATGCTATCCAGCTGCCTGACTGAGATTCAGGGAAACTGACGTTTCTGCCGGTTGGGGAAAATTGTTGGGGTAACTGCCAGTACTGCCATGTTATTCCTATGCTGCAGGACCTTTTCACCGTCCGAATTGTGTCCAAGCCACTGGAATTGCCGAATGGACTTGCGCGAGAACTGGAAGAGCCAGAGATAGATCATGGTCTCAGCATCAGGGAACAAGAGTGCCAATGGTGACAACAAATGCCATCCCGACCTTGAGGCAAGTTGTTAGGAGTTTGGAATCGTCAATCTGTGACCACGGGAAACTTCCAAGTGACTGGGATGGGAATGAAGATCAAGGACCAAGGCCAAAATGTTCCCACCATCACCTCAGCCCATGTTGTTTCTGGCGCCAACTCATCAACTCATCCCCGGCGCCACCATCTACATGTCGATGTCCAAGTCACTCCGATGGCTCCAGCACACCAACTCAATGACATAATGGCAGGAAACAGCTTCGTCACCAACGTGGTGTCCACATTGTCCGTGTCGAAGCCTTGGGGAGAGGAAGGCCCATGGCAACCTGTCCATAGGATATCTTTGTTTTTGCTGTCCAGAGACTCCAACAGAGATGACTTGGAATAGGTTTAGTTAGTTTAGTTATACGGTTTGTTCAAAGAATGGACAGCCACGACACCCTTTGTGAGCTTTCCATCATCTGTCCATCTCCTCATATTTCTGCTAGCGGGGGGAAAACCGGCCAATAGTTTCTTCATTTTTATATGTCCCCGAAAAGGAAAACAGCTACGCCATGGAATTCCGTGCTTCATTTCTCTTTTTCCTGTCTTTCATGCGCAACACATGTATATCAACATCAAGATCACCATCTTCCAACATGAGAACATATGGGGGGGGTGGGGGGGTGGGGGGGGCATGTTTACGTTGGGTGGCAGTGGTGCGCCAGACACCAAAACAAATGTCTGATGTCTGCTACTGCCAAACACCTGACGAAAGTGTACAGAGAGTGAAACGAGAAAATGCCATGTTGCGCGACAAGGGGTGTCAAAACCCAGGCGAAACGCACATTTTGAAAGAAACCGTCCCAATTTGGACCTCATTTTCTGAATCATCAAAGACCTCTTTTCCATTGGCAGGCGCAATGAATTATGACTTTTCATGTTGAAAATCTCGTCCGGAGAGCCCCCCGCACGGATGTTTCTGGATCCCCAAGGTCTCTGGGTGCAGCCTGAGAAGCTGAATCGGTTCAGGACACGTCCTAAAGGCGTAGTATCCCACCATCGCATAGGCGCGCGAACCACACCTGAGACCAAGGCAGAAAATCATCATGAAATGGGGATGGGCCGGATGGGTCAAAATGATCACCACACCAAAATGCCCATCTTGGGTTACTGAATCCCTTTGACCAATGTGATTCAAATTGGTGGGCGTGTTGATAAAAAAAAACCTTGAACATCCTTGACCCATACCCAAATCATCAAATCCGAAAGCAAATCAAATGCAT